TTAGGAGCAGTTATAGGGTTCACAGACTTTCCTGGCCCCGTGGAGCATCGTGACTTTCCAAAACTCTTTGCAGATGAGCCAGAGACTGCCAGTGATCTTGAAAGCTCGAAACTTTTCTGGAAGAAACGAATCTGTTCCAGCTCTTGTCTTAGCCTACGGATCAACTCCTTCCTCTCTGAAGATGACAAGCCAGATAAGGGTAATACCATTTTGGAGACACCAAATGCTTCCTGGTCAGTATAATTTAAGCCCCCGAACTTTCTTTTGGAACAATTTGAACCCTCTGAGGCACTGGGGCTATCAGACCCTTCATCATATCCACCTGGCGCCTCGAAGCTGTTATGATAATAGTCTCCAAGGAAACCACCGTTTCGCACAGTCATATCGACGAAGTTTATGAACAGATTTGGCTTATTGGCGTTTAGAGCTCCAGATCAGTCTAACCTGCACGGACAAATCATCTAGTATGACGGATTTGCTTATGAACGCTAATCTCCGAAAATTCTTACAGCTCAAATTCATTTCTAAACGGAGACAATTAGAAAAGCAGAAATCTCGATTCTTCAAAACCCTAATTTGAGCAATTCATCTCTTAACTCGTACTGACATTAAGAAAACCTCGAATTGCCCGAGGGAAGCAAATACTTAATACGCGAAAATTATAAGTAAATTAAGAAACTCACCGACTGAAGTTTAGAGCAGCCGCGAAAATCGATGATCCAACTGAATCGGAAGCCAGAGAAACTAAGGAGAAGCGAAACCTTAGACGATGCGAAGGGGAGCACGAAGATAAAACCCCTTTGATGTAGAAATTGATAAAATTAGAAAAGGCTGACGACGGAGGAGACGACCGAGAAGTAAAGAGTCGAGAGAAATGTTTCGTTCTCTCTCTCTATACTCTCCACTGTCTGATTCTGATACCACCCTAACGGAACAGCGGTTAACGAGATTCGGTTACCGGAAACGCAGGGGGAATATAGACCGTCGGATCGGAATCGAAATATCTAATCTAGCAAAACAACATTAGATATTTTAGATGGAAACTTAATTACGAATGTGGTCAACGGAATCAAATAACCACGTGCCGTTTTTACTAATTTTATCTGCACGTCCTGGCGCTTTTTAGTGTTCCAATGGGATTTCGAGATTCGAAGCTAAACCGAGTTTCTGAAGATAAAAAAACCAAATTTTATTTTCAATCTTTTGTTGAAACGATGACATACTAAATTTCTAAAACACAGATAAGAATCATTACAGAGGGTTAGGACTCAAGAGTAGGGAATAACAAGGTGAAGTTTATGGTTTCATGTCTGTAATTACACTCGCAGGATTTCCACAACGTGACCTTCATTGTTTAGGCTGCAACATTTGCGTGTCAACCGAGAGATAACGCTCCAAGCAAACCTACCTGCAATTCCAGTGCAATCAAATTTTTGGTTTCACACACTCTCATTTCAACTAGACACTATGGTCAGATATGGATTTGTCCACACGAAACTGACCTTAACTAAGCGACCTCACATTGTAATGATCAAGTACTCTTGCCATGTCCCACAAAGTGCAGCTACCACACGAACCTGGAACAACATTGTTTTAGAGGGTCAGGAGACATTAGTTATTATTTGTATGGGAGAGAGAGGACACTGGACAGAGATAAGTGCCTTTTTTTGTTTATTTCAAAGAGGGAGCAAATGGTGCTGGGCACGGAGAGACGGTTGTATCGGGCAATTCATTTAACAAATCGACTGTTGCCATAAGGCACGCAGCTAGCATCTTCTTCTCCAGTCGGACAAGCCGTGTGGCTACTCGCTTCCTAGGATTCAAACTAGGATCTGCCAACTGTTGAACAGGAAATCTATTTTAATTTCATGCAGGAAAGAAAGAAAATTATGTGTTTGATATGTAGCAATTACAAAACATACCAATGCATCATCTTCTTTCAGGGTAGTAGGGTAGCCAGACAAGCGTCTCATGAAGTAATCTGCAAGCTGATCTAGTACTGCTCTTTCCATGCATGGGCTCATCTACGAAACAGACCCAGAAGTAACATTGGAGACCTCACATGTAGCATTTTTATACAATTTCAGGAAATAATCAAAAGATTACATAGACAAAAAGGTCTGCCAGGTCAGGTCATCATCTACTTACTGGACAAACTGGACCTTGGGATGAAATAACTGATTGCATTTCAGCAGGGTCAGACATGTAACCCAACCGCAGGTACGGAAGCATGTCTTGAACAGCTTCTTTTTCTTTTCCCACGCGAACCTGACCGTGGATGCAAAACAAAAATCAGGCAAAAAATCTCTAACTCGCCTTGTTGAAATGGGAGGGTCACACGTTCATACCTGAAAAACTTGTTGAGATAATTTTCCGTTCCTTTGAGCAACCATTCTCTTGTCTTGATATTGAGGATCATCGGTGCTCAGCGCTGCCTGCAATAAAATATATGACACAAAACATTGAGAAAATTACATGAAATTCTATGCTGAAGTTTACACTAAAGCACCAAAGTTTCATAACTACCTCAACGATTATTCTATCATAAGGGTTTTAATTTATTTAAAGTTTCATTTGGTTGGAATGTGTATGAGGTTAAGTTGTTTACATAAAGGTCCAAAATATTAAAATTTGTTTCAGTTTAACATATACTATATTTATTGAAAAAAAACTTATTAATTTATTATTTTTTTAAATTTTCGTTTATAATTTGTAATTATTTATTATTTTTTTGTTTAAATCACGTCAAAACATACTTTTTACATTTTAAAAGTGTATTTTTCAAAACAGAAAAAATTTAGGGTATTTTCGAAATTTTTAAACATAATTATGGTATTTTTCAAAAAAATATACCCTTATTCCAAATTTGGAGATATTATGTTTTTTTTTTTTTTTTTTCAAACCGCAACCGCCCGCAACCGCAAACGCTTGCGGAAAGGAGCTTTTGATTTTCAGCGATATAGAGCGGTACAGAGTGGTATAGAGCGGTTGAAAGCGGTTGTTGATTGTTATAAAACGCTAAGAACCGCTACGAACCGCAAACGCTGCGTTTGCGGGTGGTAGCGGGAGAACCATTCATCACCTCATAAGGTAAAAGTCATTACGATACTTTTCCTCTACTTTATTATAACTAGTACCATTAAATTTTGTTAATCACCTTTACCTATCCACACAATAAACAAACAAAAAAACTAGATCCTCAAAATGAATAAAATTTTAAAATTGATGATGACCACTTGGAGTCAAAGACTATTTTTGACAACTTTTGCACATGGACAATCTGAGCAAAACTAGATTAGTTAAAAATAAATTATAAAATGCCAAGGAACTAATATTAAAACCATTAATTACTATCTCGGTCAAATCAGTGCGTTACGTTACGTTACGTTATTAGTTTATTCACCGCGTTTTACCTTGTTCGAGAAGAAAACGCGGTCGGAGCTGTATCGATGGTTCGGATAGATCCAAGAATTGCAAACGAAGTGTATTGGACCGCCTTCACCGCCGGGGAAGTTGCGAAGAGTGAGGCTTTTCAGGTAGAACTGGCTATGGTGATGGTTCTTGATCACAAACGCAGCCGGTGGTCCCATTGACTCGTCCCAATCAAACGTCACTCCAAACGCGGTTTCCTCTGCGGTTACTGACGTTTTTATTTTTGTCACCCATTTCTCCAGATACGCTGCTTTCCCAAGTCTTCCTCTCTTCTCATTGGCTGATCATATATTACACACACAAAAAAAACATTACTTTCTTTAAAAATAAAACACAAAAGATTTGGCTTTGGATAAAGTTGGTCGTCACATTCTCATGGTCCATTCAAAAGCAACACTGATTCTATTACAGCGACTAAATAGTCTTATTTGATTAAAATTAGTCCAAGGCATAAGACTTGAAAATCGAGTTTGATCTTTAAAAAAACACAGAGTAATTAATCCTCTGTTTCATGAATCGGACCAACATTTTAAAAGATGTAAACTTTAGTGATAAAATCAAATTTCAAGAAAATAAAAAAGGGAACTTTAAGATGGATCTGATGAAAATGTAAAACGGGTCGGGTAAAAAGAATGAATACCCGGGTCGGGTTGGAGGGAGCTGATGAGGTGAAGAGAGACACGACGACCGAGAAGCTCGTGGATACGATCAAGAAGAGAAGCCATGGCGTCTTTGAAATCAAGAACGTTCTTCTTCATAATAACAACTTCTCCTTCTATCTTCATCGTCTTCTTTTTCTTCTTCATATCTTGCTCCATTGTCTTCTTCTTCTTCTTGGTCTTGGGCTTGACGCATAGGATCTCTGCGATGTCGGTGTGGATCATGGCGATATATATAGCAAGAATTTTCTCTGAGTGAGGATGAAGAAAAGGGGAGAGAATCTGTGTGTGCTTGGTGAATGAAGAGAGAAGATGTGTGATTATAGAATGTTCTTTTAGTATGCCATATGTAACACAAATCTGATGAGTGATATACTTTGCCTTTATATTGGATCTAAACAGAAGCAGTGTTTTTCATTTTTTCCATATTAAATCTTTTTTTAATAGATTTGGTAAAACAAAAATCCAAAATGACACCAAGTAGTAGATATTTAAAATGAATATTCTCACCCATGTTTATTTGGATCATGGTTATTATTTAGAAAAATAAATATTTGAAACTGAAACATAAATTTTAAATTTATTTTTTAAAGACAGCTGATAGTAACATGTTATTTAATATTTATCAGATTTTTTTTAAGGAATTGGTCTTTAGATCAAGACGTCCAGCTTTTCATGAACTGGTTGCAAACTTGCAATAAGTGAATTTGAAAGTTATTTTAAAACAGTTTGTAGATTTCATCTAATTTCCCAGGTATTATTAATGAATTCATATAAAACGTTTTATGGTATATCATTAATGATAAAGCATATATTTTAACGTGAATAAAAATACAATAAAATTTCAACATGATAAAAGTTCTGAAGGCAACATCAATTATTGAATGCGTACCATACATATAACAATGATCATGATGTCAAGAAAGAAAATATAACATACATCATTTGGAGCAACATGATCTGTACGGTGCGTAAATTACTTGGCATTTGGCAATTTCCTCTCCTTTTCGTATCAACAAAGTTTTGCACAGTTATAAAGAAAATTAAAATTATTCTTTTTTTTATATATATATATATATATATAAATATAGGTACTTACCTGTGAAGATTGAATGTCCTTTTCCTAAGTCAAGCTATTTTATTTTATTTTCTTTATCAAATTGACTTTTCTACCTACTTTTCTATAAAACGATGTGATGATAAACTTTTATATTTGGGGGTGAGCGTGGCAGAAAATGAAATAGCCATCTTGACATCAAGAAAATGAAAATGAAATCTTCTCTAACATGATCGTAATATATAAGATTAAATTTAATCATGACATCAACGATATTGGATTCTTGATCAGTACTGATTCATTATTGTTCAATAATCTAGTTATCTATGCTGATTAATATAAAACTATCGTTAGAAGCTGACTAAACAGTGTGCTTTATTCATATATATAAATGAGGACATTTTCATATTCTTTTTTTGGCAACAGGCACCATTTGCTAATAATATAGAGCTACGAAATTGACACATGAATAGCTGACCATTCTACTCGTAGCCATCATGAATCAACTATGAACAAACTTTCTATTTTAGTTTCAATAGATGAATAATTGAGTATATACATAAATATATATATATATATATATATAGTATACGCGTACTACTGTCTATTGTCTTGTATACGAATTAAAAAAAATGTATAGACCATATCTCTTTCTTTTGCTTTTACGTGTACTTTTCTTCTGTTTTGTATCTAAATAATTCACTAATCAAAAATGCACATAACCTCTGAAACCCAAAGCAACAATAAAAATAACTTCATTAGCCATCAGCGAAACATCTTCAATCACTTCATATCAAGCCGTGGAAGAAAAACCAAAAGTAGCTGCTTGAAATTGTCGTTGGATAACTGCTTACATCTGCTAGGATTGATCCTCAGGAAGAAAACGACTTTTTCGTTCTCTTATCAATGTATTAATACAAAGTTACAAACGTATTCATAATATCAGCAAACACTAACTTTGAAAGAAAGAGGATTCAACATGGTAATAAAAAAAAAAATCAATTCATACAAGGGTAAAAAGAAATTGCACGTCGATGACAAAAGCCCCGTGTCTACAGAACCATAAGAAGAAGATTACAAGGAAATATAATCAATCGAGAGAGACCTGACTAAAGAATTTGAATTTAAAATTGCTATTTATATATCCCAAAAAGAATAAAATAAACGTTCTGAAACTTGTTTCAAAATATATCATCAAAAATTTATTTGATTCTTCGAAATAGCTTTATCTTCGTTGATCTCCATAATCTTCCAAAAGATATCGAATAAATTGTTAAACCATATGTTCTTAAACACTCTACAAATATTCAAAATCAAAATCTCTAGTTTATTTCGAAGACAAACTTGGTAGTCTGTACTGAATTAGTCTACAGAGACGATTTATTTTTTTATTTTCATTATTTACGTAAACCAACTTATTCAAATACCATCATCATACAAAACATCAGTGTATATAGTTACAACTGTCATTTAAATACATTGAACTAGATTACCCATTGCATTACCAGTATTCAAACATACCAACGCCATTAGAACAAGCTATTAGTTATTCTTGTAAAATTAGAAGCAGATGAATATGTGATTAGGAAAAGTAAGAAATAGCTAGATTAGGAAGAGTGGAGATATAAACCATCGTCCAAAACATGTTTTTGACCTCCTTTTCAACTGGAGATGCTCTTCTTTTGCGTGTTAACCTTATTAGGAATCAAGACACGCACACACGTTTGAAAAGTCCAATATACAAACCAAGAAAATCCTATCTTTGCTGCCAAAAATAGAAAACAAATAGTAATGGTTAACAACACTGAAAAGACACGAAAGGAATATTGGCATAATTTTAATTTTAGGTACTAGCTCTTCATTGCATTGATATTAAATGAAGTATTCTTTCTTGCTGCCCAGGAAATAAATTAAAATTCAAGTGAAATGTGGATCACATGCGACTTGACAAGGACTTGTTGTTTGGAATTAGTAATTAGTTTATCAGTTATTTAGAATTCATAACTTGCAAAACATATGTTATCTATCGCTAAACATTTCTTACCTTAACGACTTTTTCTTTGGAAAATTTTATGGGGTTAATTAGATGACATACAAAACTACTGTGTAGATGGATTCCAGATTTTATCTCAAAAAGCAGGTGCGTTTACACTTCAACTGTGTAGATGGATTCCAGATTTTATTTACCTTCAATTGAGGCCTAGCCTAACTAAAACTCACATTTAGGTCATGTTTCAAGCACTACAGCTTCAAAAGCTGATAGATTTGGGCTTTAATAATATCGATGGGCCCATTTTTTGGACCAAGAAAGGAAAATCTAAAGAAAGATTAATGTACGTACACTATCATGTTCTTGACTTTTGAAACATGACCTAAAATCTGATAGATCATTTTTCATTAGATCAAAGAGAAAACTTTCAATATTCAAATTAATTTGTCCACTTGTTTGCCATCTCTACACATGTTGCTGATACGCCATTGGCCTCGTCTATGTCAACTTTCAAGAAAACGACTCTCGGGTGCTGCGTGGCCAGGTTTGAGTATAGAGGTACATGTAACGGCACGGTCCAACACCATGTGATTGTGAAGTACTATCTCAGTTTTTTCGGCTTTTTCTTAAACAATGTGTGGTTTTAGACAAAGAAACTCTATAGATGCGATCACTAAAGCAGGTGTAATTTGATACAGTAGTAAATATAACCTTGGAGATTAGGGAATACATGTGGGACAATGGCACATGTCTTACTTCCACAAAAACAAAATTGTCTCTTCTTAAAACCGGGTGGAAAATAATTCAAAATAAATCATGTTACTGTGATTTGTGAAAGATAGTAAAATAAGAGCATTGTCCTTTTTTTTATTTAACATGCTAGATTGCTAGTAGTCTTAGGAAAAGAAAAATGAAAACGTTAGTATATGGAAAATTCAAAACTTCAACGTACCTACCATTACATTTTGTAACAAGCAATGAAATAAATTTCCACCAAATAATCGTTTTTTTGTGGTAGGAAAAAATGATAATATTATCTTGCCTTATTGTGGAGGCTGCTACTGCCGTTGGCATTGATTTAAGATATTTTTTATTTGGAGATATTTTGTGATAAAATATAAACGAAAATATAGGTATATTCGGTATACTGTAACTGGGCCAGAAAACACGAGACAAAAATATTACTTAAAGTCTGAGCCCACAAAGTTTAATAGTGGACCACTGGCTCATTTGGAGTTTGTCAAGTGGACCCCTAACATTTTGTAGATTTCGAAGTTGAACCCCATACGTTTTAATTATTACCTTACGGGACCCACACTTTTGATTTCGTGGATCCTTCTCGGGTCCAAAATAAATTAAAGGAGAAAACAGTAAGGATCAACAGAAAAAAGGATAGAGAAAGAAAAGTAAAGGAGAAAAAGGGTAAGTTGTAAACTTTGACTATTGGAGTAATGAGAGCAAGATAATCCAAATTATTGAGATAGTTAAGGGGAAAAGTAAATGATTGGTTGCGTTAGACATATCGAATAATTATATCTAGGTTTAACTTCATGATTCATGATATAGACAGATTCCTTTCCACTCATTTTAGTTGAAAAAAAAAACAAACATAATTTGTATTTTATACGAATTTACGTTGATGTCAATTATATTTTGATTTAATATAAATTTAAAATCAGCACATGACACAAAAATAAAAATACTCAATTACTAGTTTCTATTCGGCACTTTTACAATATATTTATTTTTAAATCAGGCAACGTTACATCGTACAACACCGTAAGAAATGAAAATCCCAAATGTTGCTGTCTTTTTGCTTTGACTAAATTCCCACGCCTCTTCATCAAACTTGCCTAATTCTAATACCACTTCCTCAAAACTCCAAAATCTTTCATTATGAGTGGTAGATTTCCATCCACCGGCAATTTTTGTTTTCAAAGAAACGGACAAAAGACATTTGCATAGAAAAGAACGACAAAAAACTACTGAAAAAAGAAAAAAAAGGCAGACAGAGAAATGGTAAAAAAAAAAAAAAAAGTTAGAGGTGCTAATTTGGCAAAGGATGTACGTTTTCTAGAAAGTTTGCACGCGTGTGGCCTTTTACTTCCACACCATCTCCATCTGTAAGGAAATTCATTCAATTTTCTGACCAAAAAATCATAAATAGAAACGAATAATAGATTCCATCATACTATTTCATTCATGCTCCATATAAATTCCACTAAACAAACACTAACAGAACAGGCCAACACAAGAACAATATCAGTATACGTTCGCTGGCTCTTGTTATTTTTGTTTCCACAACACTCAAACCTCCTCAAGAAAAATGAATAAATCTTTTAAAAATTAGAACTTCGGTGGTTTTCCCTTTTTTTTTTTTTTTGGGTGGAACTGAAACACAGAAGGGTTCCTGTCAGAATAAATATAAACACTAATTGTACACAAAATGCTTTTTAAAGCACTTTCCCAACTCCAAAAAAATGTGTCATCCCTTGATAGTGCTCTGTTCCTTTCTTCCGACTCCACCTAAGTCTCTGTCTCTTTCGTCTCGCCAGCACAAGCTATAAACCGGAACTTCCTAAACCATTCAGAGTCTTTTCTTTTTTCTTTGAGTTAACAAAAATGGTTTTTTTAGGATCTTTCACTCACCCGCTTGTTGCTTCTGATCTACAGGTTTAACCTGAACCGCGTGAACATACGGGAACCCTGGAGGCACCAGCTGGTGTTGCTGCGTCTTCCCCATACCTCCTCCTCCTTTCATGTTATTAGCAGCCGCTGCAGCAGCGGCTATGGCTTTCGCTGGATCTGAAGTGGCGGTGACAGCTCCAGTGACTGGAGGACTAGCAGCTGCGGAACCCGGTTGTTGCTGATGTCTCTGAATGTAGTAACCACCGGAAGGAGAGATAGTGATCTGCTGCGGTGGATGTTGTTGATGCTGAGATTGCATGTAAGGATTTGAAAAGAAAAGCTGGGCTTGCGGTTGCAATCCATGCTTTGGCATCTGTTGCTGTTGCTGTTGTTGGGACTTGGATCCGGAGCTTGCAGTGGGGTTTCCGAGAACAGAAGGACCGTTGTTCCTTCCACCACCGGAAGAAGCTGCGGATGCAGACTGCTGTACGTTCTTTGACGGCTGAGACGATGAGTGGGTAGTAGAGGAAGCTTGTCCAGCTTTGTTCCCCGCTGACGAAGCGGTAGCAGTTGTTCTTGGGCTTCCGCCGGCGTTTTTGGAGACAGAAGACGTAGAAGGCGACCCAACTAACATCGGTGGAGATGGAGCCTGGTTATTGCTACCTCCTTGCACCTGCTGCACTGGTGAACCGGAAGCCATGGGTTTTGAGTTCGCTGCAAATGATATCTGCGATTGCTGGGGACGGTTTTGCTGTTTATGCGATACGTTTCTCAGGGACGATGCAGCGGCAACAGATGATGATGACGGCGACAGCATGGAAGGAGACTGAGCTTGGGAAGTGTTTGTTGTCCTCGGTGAATTTTTATTCCACTGAGGAGACTGCACCTGACCGCTGCTTGACTGGACAAGGTTTTGAGGGAACCCGGAATTGGCATTTGGAAACTTGGCGGTTCCGGCGGGTGATACGGTGATGTTGTGATCAGCGAAACCACTCCCATTACTCGCCACTGGCCCTTTGGTTCTAGCAGCAGAAGCAGCGACTGAAGTTGCATAGCGTTGCTGCTTCTGGAGATACATGGTTGTATAAGGTTGCTGTGACTGACTCCGTTGCATGTGCTGTTGCTGTTGTTGTTGCATATGCTGCTGCTGCTGTTGCTGTTGCATATGTTGCTGCTGCTGCTGTTGCTGTTGTTGCTGATGATGGTGAGACGTCGGCATAGAACCGGAACTCTGTGGCATAGCAGAACCAAGGTTGAGCAAGCGGGATGTATCAACGATGCTACCACTCGTTACAGCAGAAACAGATGCATCAGCCAAGTCGTGTTTGTTAGAGAAAGCAATAGACTGCCCAGCATTAGCACCACTCGTTTTCCCTGTTGCTCCTCCTCCCGACTTTCTTTGTTCTTCCACAGAAACAGCATTAGACCCAGACTTTCCATCATCTGATGGAGCACTGTAGTTCATTTTCTGTTGGGCTGCTTGAGCAGCAACATTCGCAGCCATCATTTGATAACCTTGCCTAGCTGCTTCGGGAATGCTGTGGAACATGGCGTGATTCTGAGCAATCGATGACATGTTCAGGGAAGGAGCAGCGTTAGCCCCGTTGAACGTCGCAAAGGTCATAGCATAACCCTGGTTTTGAAAAGATTCCACACCAGCCTTTGGAACCTGCTGCTGTGATTTCTTTTCACCATGATTGCTTGAAGATACGACCACTCCACCACCTGGGGCAGCTGAGCTCATCAAACCCAAGTTGGTTGGCTGCATCTGCATGCCATAGTTCTGGCCATAGCCAACATTGGAACGAGAACCCCGGCTATCTGCTGTTGACGGGCTCTCCTCTCCCACAGTTTCGCTGTGTTGAGTCGCATTTTCTCTAGGTTGCTGCCTCTGCTGGAAACTCAACGGCTGAGATTGGACTTTATGAGTTGGAAAGCCTTGGGAATTCCCGTGGCTTATCGGTGGCCTCAGCTGTTGGTTCTGCTGCAGATGCTTCTGAGCTGGCGAGGAGCCAGTGGAAACACTTCCATTCTGGTTGTTTGGACCATGGCTCTGGAGCATTTGACCAGCTTGCTGCTGCTGCTGATGTTGCTGTTGTTGCTGCTTCTGTGGCTGGAGATGTGGCGGCTGAATCATTTGGGAGGAATAGAATGAGCCATTAAAGAATGGTATCGGCTGCCCAGGACCTCCTCTGTAAGCAGGCGGTGCACCAACATGTGCTGGGACCGGAAATGGATAGCCATTGTTCTGCAAGATGGCCAGGTACTGCGTTTCATTGCCCGGCATGCCTGGATAACTGAAGGTCATTGTTGGGGCACCAGCTGGAGTAGCTGATGCAGAACCATTCATGGAGTTAGAATTAGCTGTCCCACCAGAAGAAGCTGTGTTTCCACTGCTAGGAGGCCTGACAGATGCGGCAGCTATTGTGGCAGCTGCATGAGGCTGTTGGCCCACAGGGAAAATGAATGTTGGACCATGCTACAATGAAAGAGAAGGAAAAAAGAACAATCAGCTTGCAATAAAGACGACAAAAACTTAATATAAGATGTATACTTAGATGGAGGACAGAAAAACTAACCATGATGTTATTAGCTGCTCCCGGAGGCAGAGCTTGCTGGAGCAATATTTGATTTCTCTGAGCTGTGTCTGAGCTTTTGGAAGTAGATTGAGAGTTCTTATCTGGAACAGGGTTGGAACCTCTTCCCAATACACTCCCCTGGAGTTCTGTGGGAGGCATGAGACTGAGATTGCAGGCCTTGGTCCCGTACAATGGAGCTGAGCCGGCTGCTGCAGGCCAGAATGGATTCATCTTTGTGAATTGCTGATGCGATTGAATATTGCGAGCGATATAGCAATGTGTTGCACATCTCTTAGGCCTCGGTTGATTAAAAAGTAAATGCGGAGGAGGCTGCACAAGATCAAACATTTTTAATCAGTAAAGAGAAGAAAAGAAAAAAAGGTGGAGAGGATTGTTTAAATCGCACAACAGTGAAAATAAATAAAAATTACCTGCATTGCCGCAGATGACATGGAACTAGTATCCGTAGGCACAACTCCTTGTGTAGATGGCATGTATCTGTTTTATCACAGAGTTTTCCATTAGTTCAAGCGGAAACAGAAAGAGACTTAGCAAAGTTTACTTGCTAAAATTATTAAATTCATACCCCATTGTAGGTAGGCCACCAGGCCATCCAGGCATTGACATGTGCAGAGGCAAAGGGCTAGCTTGAGCTGGAAATTTTTCATAGAAGAAAAAAATTTATAAACAAAAGTTGGCGCAAAGAGTTAGATGAAGGAAACTCAAGAAAGATGAGAAGGCTTATTACCTGTTTTATCAGGAACATGTAGTTGTTGTTGTGGTTGTTTCTGAATATGATGCTTGTTCACTAATCCCGCATGATCAGACTTTTCCAAGTCGAGTTTGAGTTCACAATTCCTCTCCGACTTGTGAGGTTCAGTTTCTGCCACCGTTCTTGGTTTCTTCTTCTCTGAAAGCTCAAGATTCGTGGCGTCACCTCCATCTTCCTTTAATAGAGGCTTCGTTTCCTGCTTCATTCATAATGACACCGGAGAGAATTAAAAATAAAGGACGGAGGATAAGAAAAGGGAGCCAAAAAGAAAGATAGAAAATGGAAAAGTAATGATGGATATCCCCAATAATCACAATATTACAAAACCAAAAACGTAGGCCCCACTCACCGTTTCCACTTCCGTGACTTTAGGTTTAGCTTCCGCTGCCACACATTCCATCTCACCGCCTCTCTCCGATGAAGATCTAACCGGCGGTGGCGCCTGAAACGATGATAAAAAAATTTGATGAGTAAATTTTTTTTAAAAATGGAAAACATCTTAACAGTGAAAACAAAAATAAAAGTTGACACATACCATCAGATCTATCTCAAACTTCTCCTTCTCCGGCGAACTTCTGCATGATAAGGAAGAAAAACTCGTCTGAGCACCAGAATTTGAAAAGGGAAAAAAAAATCCAAAAAGAATGTATAGATTATCTACTTACGATTTAGCTCCGCCACCATCGGATCTAAATCCTGAAGACGATTCCACTTTCGGCAATACTGCTTTCTCCTGGGACATAGTGTTTTCTTTTCTCGAATCTAACGCTGCGTTGCTTTCTCTCTGAGGTAGATTGATCGGATCCAATACGGAGCTGTTTTCTTCGGCGGATCCTGACCTCTTTAGCTGATCACCGAACGGAACTTGACTTTTCGAAGGAGCTTCAGCTTCGGATTTAATGGCGCGTGATGGTAAACTGAAACTGTTCTCGTCATCGTATTTGACATGCCTCGGCTTCTTTCTTTTAGGAGCTGAAAACCAAAAACGATGAAAACAAAGTGAGCGGAAAAAAAGAAGGGAGCGGATAAAAACAGATCGTTGTGAATGGAGTTTGACTTACCGATGGCTGAAACATTAGAGGAGCTCGAATTTGCAGCAAGCGTCATGGAAGACTGAGGAACAGTTTGGGAATTGGAGATCGGTGAAGATACTCTGGATTTGACGTCTACCGTTGGTTTCGCTCCTGCATCCCCCAAATCGTTACCGGCGGACTCTTGTTTTGATGTGGCTAGAGGCATCCTCATCATGCCATACAACACCTCTGCAATCTCGATCTCGATCTCGTCTTGAACGGCCACCGGAGATGGTAACTTGCACGATGATGATTTCGGTGGAAGCGGCTTCTGTTTTGTCCCCGACGGCTTCAAAACAGAAGAAAAAAATTATTTAGCCCAGAGGAAAAAAAAAAATAGAGAAGATGGAGATTTGGAGAGGAAGGAGGACGAGAGATCTGAGTGAATTCTGAGAGACTGACCATTTTTTTCCGGACTGAAACGCTGGATGAAGATGGCGATGTAGGAGCTGGAGGAGACGGAGACGCTAAAATGGAAGCCGGACTAACTCTAGCTGGAGACGTCGATACTTGCCGGTGGATTTGTTCGCCGGAAGCAAAAACACCACCGCCGGTAGCACTCGATGCCCATGATTCATGCGGTCTCTTCGTACAAGCTGTAGAAAAAACGTGAAGAAGAAGAGATTAGAAGACCTGTGAAAAGAGATTTGATCAGCGAGAGATATGTTCATATTGTAATTTCCACCTCTCTACCTGACCGAGCTTTTCTAGGAACCGATACGCCGATCATCTCGTCTGCGGCCTTCCAAGACGAGACGAGAGGGGATACCGGCGCCGGAGATGGAGACGATCTGAAAACTTTCGATGTCGGAGGAAAGTTCTTCCTCTGATGGTGGTTGTGGTGGTGATGGTGGAGATTACCGCTGCCGTTGTGGTGATTTGACAGAGACGATGAAAACGGAGCGGCGGAGATATTGCTCGTCGGAGGAAGCATCTTCATGGAGGAAGGTGGTCCTACGCCTCCACCGCCGTCGTCATATTCTTCATCGTCGTTGACACTCTCTTCGGAGCTATCGTCGCCGCCGTCGTCTATATTACCGTGAACCATCATCAACCGTTCTCCTCTCCTCCTTTTACTCCGGCTATTTAACCGATCTCTCTCCCTATTATCCCGTTCTCTTTCCCTCTCCCTGTCTCTATCACGTTCCCGATCTCTATCCTTTTTCGTGCTACCACCTCGATCTCTCAGCCTCGCGGCCTCCGGTAGCTCCACCGGACCCTCCTCCTCTGCAAAATCCAATTAGAAAAAAACATCAAAATCAAACGTTTTCTCCCAGATCTGAAAGAAATGAATAAATCGAGTGATATAAACCTGGGGAATCTCTGAAACTTCCGGCTCTATGCCTCCGCCTGGACAAGCCATTTCCGGCCGCCGCCATCGGTACTCTTCTAGCTTCTCTATTTCTATCCATCTTCTCTATTCTGCTTCGCTTCCCTTCTCTTTTTCCCTCTAATCGCACCTCTCTTTCTCTCTCCTTGTATCTCTCTCTCTTCTTCTATCTCTCTACTTGCTTCCCATTATCTCCTTTATTTGTGCTCCTCATAAAAGCAGTAGCGAATAAATCCACGGCTCATATCTCCTGCCGTAAAACCTTTTCCTAATCTTCACCGTCGGTGTGTATGCATCCAACGGTCTCGATTCCCTATTTACCAGCGTGACAACATCTTGGCCCTTCATTATCGAGATCTCACATCAATTATAACCGATATTTCCTCTTTTATTGTTTTTTTTACCACCGAAATTTTGATTTGTTTAATATTTGAGAAAACGTATTCTTTTATTATTTAAATAGTCAGCATCCTCTGCAGGACCCACATAAAATGATATTAAAATGTTATTTTTTATATTTTGTTTCATTACCATTTAAATCTGATTTTTAATAATACTATTTCCGAGTCGGATTCATGTGAAAAAATTATTTGGACTGTTACCATATTTAAACAATAATTTGCCACGTGTCAAGAGTTTGACATCACACGCTTCCGTGTATATTATCGCTACCAATATTTTATTGACTTTATTTGTGTCGAGAAAATAAAAAGAAACAGTAAATATATCGAAAGTCTCAAACAAAAGATAATAATATTTATATTAAAAATAGTCACTTATATAAAACTATAATACAATAAAATATTTGTTAAAAGGCTCCTGGGGTAGTGTACTGTTGTCCACTAATCGCGATGACTCGTGTGAAAAGAACACAAAAATACAGTACTGACATATACACGCACAAAGATGATATTATTAATAATTAATTTAATTCAAATGTGTCCTTTGAAGATGTATAACCGGCTACTACCGGTAAACAAAGACCTTGGTAAAGGCAATCTGACGATCAGAATGGAATCTTTGTGACCACCAACACTAACCGATCCAACCGGTAAAATTAATGATATCAGGTTCCACTTCTCACCCTCTCTTCCTCCATTTGTTGCCTTTTAAAGTTTAATAAATCAAATGGCTAATAGTTTTGGCAATAACTAATTTTTTGTTTCTAACTGCTGTAAATAAATGGTTGAAAATTACTTTTTATTATTACTTATTTGGTTGATTTTTGTGTTGATTTCTGATTTTTCCCTAAATGTAATAATAATATTTCCTTAAAACTAAAATTAAATCTACCTTTCTAAAGGATAAGAATTCAAAAAGTTCAACTTTAAATTCTCAGAATCTGATTGTAAATGGAAATAAAATCAAATAAATAATCTTGACTTATCTCATTTCTCCTTATTGATCAAATCCAGTTTAGAAACATATTGATAGTTCTTTGGTAGATTGAGAAATTAGTCAAATTGACATATCTTTAATCATCTTCTCTATTAAATAATTAAAGATACTGCCATATATGGATATTTCTAAAATAGAAGTAAATGGTATAGTAGTCTCCAGATTTTTTTATTAATTTAAAAAAGGGAGAGGGGAGCAATATATAATTACAAAACCAATAAAGTAAGGAATCAGGGGTCCACCTCGATATAAAATATAATTCAACTCATTAATTAGAAATCAACGGTCGATATCCTTTGCTGCCTATAGGTAATAGTCAGTCAGCCGTTAGATCAATTTCTGTTTTATTATTTTTCCTTTTTCCGTTTCGTAATCTGATTTGGCAGAAAGCGTCATCCCATATTAAAAAAAAAAACTAAAAGGTAGTGAGTTGGCACCCGACCGGTTGATCTGAGCCGTTTATTTGAGCAAACACTCAACGGTTCCGATGAGAAGATTTGGAAATGCATGTGGGACCTTATTCACTCAAGTCGCGGTCACGGAACTTCCGAGAAGTGTGGGCCCCTGAGTTAGCTGCCAATGTGGAATTGCTCCTCTCGTTTATTTTTGAGACTCTTTATTTTTTTCTTTTTGGTTTGTTTTACCGCAACTATAGTTTTTTTTCATTGTTACTCTCTCTTTCGTAATTATCCAATCTAAATCTAAAAAGCAAACTATCGCCAAAGTATAAATCATTTTTCTCTAAATTTTTTAAAATGTGGCACATTCTAATTAGGGGTCGGCATGTTACCGAAAGAAAAACCAAGTTTTGGTTTGTTTCTCTATTTGTCTAGGGTATTAATGGTCAAAAAGTTATTTTTGTATAGATATTTCAAGATCTTAAGTACAGTATTTCTTATCCAATTTTAATACTGTATAAAAATATTGATCACTTGCAACTTTTTTCTTGTATAAGATACTTTGTAAAACAACATTTCAAAATCTTAATTCTTACTTTTATACTATAGAGATTGTGTATTTAGGATATTCAAATGAAAAAAAAACAGATTTATTAACAAGTAATTGTGTTGCCTTGGGGTTTTATTTTTATTTTGTATTATGATAAGTATTTTGATTGTTTGTTTCTTAATTATAAAATACTCCTAGTTTTTAATCTTCATATTCTGACATGGTCTAAAATGTCATTTCGTAAGGTATACGAGTACGGAAAATCATTCGTGTGGATAAAAAGGCAACTATAGGTCTACTACGGTAAGGATTTCTAGTTTTAACTACAGAATCCAATAACGTGATTTTAAAAATGTTTAGAATGTATATCTATTTTCGATAATTATTACTTTTAGCCGATTATTTCTGAGTTTTTTTAGTATACGATGAATGACTGTGACGTGGATAAGGGCCCACGTAAAAATATTAGATTTTGTAATTAAAACAGCCAACGATCTTTGGTCAATGGTCAGGATTCATAACTCATCAGTAATTAATAACAGTGGAGTAACTCGACTACACAGTAGATTCGCATAATTAACATCACGCTCTACGTAGCGCGTGTAAACACAAAATCCACGTGGGTTCAGACCGTTTCGACATGGTCGATTTTAAACATGACACGTGGAGGATTGCTCTCTCTTATTCGTCACCATGGATCTGTAAGGAAAGAGTTAGAGGAAATATGCTAATCTCACGGCCGTTCACCGAAGTTAAACGTGACAGCCGCGGTTTCGGTCCACGTGGCCTAATGAGAGTGGTTGAATTACGTTATCTCGTTGAAGATATGCCTTTACGATTAAAAAGCATTAAAATAATATAAAGCAATGAAAATGCCACGTCGGAGTATAGAGTCCCGCCAAATGAATTACTTGTCTGTTTTATTTTATTTCTTTCTTCTTTTTTCTCTTTAAACTCATCGATGAATATTAAAGAAACAACAAAAAAGTTTAACTCATTGATGACAAAAATAAATAAAAATATCAGACAGGAAAAATACTATAATGACAAGTTAGATGACACGTGTTACCTTTTGGAGTTATTTCATTTTGCCAACGTGGCAACTGTTTTGATCGTTCGCTTTACCCTAGCCGTCAAGAAAATTTCTCCATCAGACCATTAAACATTACATAAAGCGATTATTTTTCTTTGGCTAAAATTCCGGAGGTTTGAATAAAACGAAACCACAGAAACAAAAAATGAATATCTTATTACATACCAGTACTACATTTTTAAAAACCTTTTGTCCTATTCGAGGATACTTACTTATTTAATTGTACAAAATAGCTTCATCGACGCACTAAGACATATCGAAAATTGTGAGCTCCAAGTATTTAATTATTTTTTGATAAAAAAACATATAATATTGGTAATTTAGTAGTAATTGAATCGTATCACAGTTTAAAATATTATAGAGGTATTTAAAATAAATTAATATACAGCGAACATGGCACCATGACTGTTTTCTCCATTATAATAATCATACAATTCAAATCTACAAAAATGCAGTACAACAATGCCACAAATAATAATATCTTATACTATGAGACTAGATTAATCGTTGGAAGTATAAAGCATTACTTTTATATCAGAAACTGTTGATAGAGGCTAGGCAACTGATTAGGACGTATATGTTATTTGTTTGTTTTTATATAATACGATCTTTAGATAAAGAAAAGTCAAAATATTTAAAATATTTTATTTCTAGCATTTAGTGTTAGATAAATTATTATTTCTGTTTTAATAATTGATGAGGGAAGATGTATGTGGAAGCGCTTTTCTTTAGCTATACTTTTTTGCCGGTATAAAAAAAAAAGCAACGGAAAGAAAAGAAAATTAAGGTTTTTGGTAATTGCCTATTATTTTGACCTAAACACACCCATGATAGATTGAAAAGAATGGCCATGATAGACACCCAATTTTTTATAGTACAAATCAATGTGGTTGCCATTAGAGAGAGTCTCTGATACGTTTTGAAAGAAAGTGGTTAAGTACACATAATCACCCAAAATATAATAATACTGTTTGATAATACATCCATCTCTATTGCAATTGACTGTTTTCTTCTTGTTATTATTTTAATGTTTCTTTAGCTTTATATTATAAAAGGTTTGTGGGCTCGGAAAGAAAATAAACACCCATGCCCAAATAAAGGATCCACTGGTTTCCTCTCTTTTCTTTTTTCATGTGTAAAGAGAGGGAAAAAAAAAGAAAAGTTGCATCAGCAAGTTTATACGTCCTAGTTTTGTCTATAGTATTTCTCCAATTCAGATTCTAATTGGAGAAATGTTATCATCTACCTTTGTACTGAAAGTCAAGTTTTATGACACGGTCATGTTACATGACATGAAAAAGTCAGTAGCAGCTTTCTCTTCTATCAATCACACTCATGTATAACAAAGCTATAAACTAAATCACAGGCCGATAAATATTGCAAAAACAAAAGCCCATTCGCAGGAATAAACAGAGTATTCGTAGAAAACATAACATTCAAAGTATGGCTCGAGATGTGGATCTATATACATAAGTGAAACAAGAAGTAAGCATAAACTTTCTCAAATTATTTAGAACAAAGATTTTAAAATTTCAGAAACAGCTCAAACTCAGTGATATCCAATTGGAGCTGGAGCTTCCTTTAGCTCACGACCTTGGTAGTGAATATCCTGCAAAGTCAAAAGCCACAATCAATCAAACAATGTTCATCAATCATCAGTCGCAAACAATTTAATTAGGGTTTTAGAGTTTTGTGGCAAAAGCACACTTACGGATGCAAAATGGTTGACGTCACGGTGGTGAGCTTCGTCGGCACGAACAACCATGACGACGTCACGAAGCGTCGCATCAGCAGGAAGCCTCCAGTAATCAATAGCAATAGCCGGAGCAGGAACGTTCTCGATGTTACCTTTGTCAAGCTCCTTGAGGAATTCAGTGTACGAATGGATTGCTTCTTCCTCAAGGTACCCAACCATACGGTGAGCGAATTTTGGAGAGATCAAGTAACCGAAGAAGTAGGCGTTGAAGAAGACTCCCTGCACAGTGATCACGAGAGCTCTCTCGTACCATTTCGGTTTCGCGACTTCCATGAACGTCATGAGATGCATCCTCTCGTTCTCCGCTTCCTCGAGTAGGGCTTTGATCCAACCACCGCTCTGCTCAAATCGCCGGAGCGATTTGCAGTGGAGCAACATTCCTCCGACCATTCCCGGAACCGCCGCAACCGTTTCCAGCATCATAGCTCTGCATCCGTATCGCCTCTGCGTTCATCAATGTCACAATCAGCTTAATCATTTCCCATTTGAGCACGATTGAGGAACAAGTGGGCAATAATTTCAAGCAATATTATAATATTTAGAAAGTTTCCAATAAGGAAGAGAATCGAATAAAAAATATTTAAGGTTTATATACGCAATCAATGACGACATCAGAATCGGATGTTTCCAATTTCAGAAAAATGGAATCGAATCGGAGACGATGAATTTGGGGAAGAAGGTGTACCTGGAAGAAGAGATCGGTAGGCCAGCGAAGAGATTTGACAGTCCAATAAGCTAATCGGTCAAGGAACGTCGTCGGTTTATGGTGCTTCGTCAGATCTATCGTCAGATCAGCTTTATACGTCTCCCATGGCTGCGATTATCCGAAGAAATTTCAATCAAAATATTCAGAAATTGAAGAAGAGCTGAGTAACGAATGAATCAATAACATACCCTGAAACAGTTCCACTTCCATTCGCTACCATCTTCTTTGGTGATCTTATTCGGCTCAACGCCCCAGTAGCTAGCGATTCCTTTCTCTCCTTTGTTACCGCCGGCGTCTCCACCGGTTGATTCGTTGTTCTCGGTTTTTTTGGGATTCGCATCCGTCGTCGGCTCCTCCGTCGCCGTTTTCTCACCGAGAGTAACCGTGCTGGCGAATCTCGCACCTCCGGTCGCCGGATTTCTAGTCCACATCCAGCCGATACCGCTCATCCCAGAAGCAGAGTGTAGCTCCGCCGTCGCGGCAGGGTTGAGAAGATGGAGACCACCGTGGCTCATCCGTGGTCCGGTAGCTTTCATCAGCGACGGGGCCACCTTGGCTCCACCGCGAATCATCATCATTATGCAAGATCGAGAAACGGAAAATCAAAATTCAAATCCAAGAATATAGGAAGATTGTAGGAGAAACCTTTTTTTATTTGTTTTCTCTGTTTTTACTTTGTCCTCTTCACGAGGTCTCGAGCAAGGTTTATATACCGAGGAAAAAGGAACGGTCAGCGATCGAAAATCCTTTGACGTATATATAAGGAGATGACGCCACGTGTTGTTCAGGTATAACAGTTTCTGGTGTGGGGTGTTTATGGAATGACGGTATTGACCTGGAGGACATTAGAGAGACTTTGGGTGCTACTTTGCTTTGACTGAGGGTATATCTGTAAATTGTGAAGGCGGTGTAGATTTTTCGTGGAGACCAAGAAGTGTGTATGGATGGATGGAAAGATACTTGCGTGGTGGCCAAGAGCTACACTCTCATTGGTTGTATTTAATGTTATCGTGTGGTGTATAATTAGGTGCTTAGGTGGTTTTTATCACTTTCTCCGCCAAAGGAATAATAAATTTGGTATTTTTAATTAATTTCTGGATATATTTGATAACAAAAATAACACATGAGCTATCTTCCGTTTCAACTTCCAACTTCTTGTGAAATCTGTCTATTCTTTTGAACATATCTAATTTACATCGTGAAAAACTAAAATCGATTGTAATAACTAGTTTTACATTTACCTATGTTTTTGTATAGTATAATTAATTCTCAACTAGTATTCATTTTGTTGTAGTCAGAAAGATGCTCTAATGTCAAAATGTCAAAACGTTTGAAGTATACTTTTTTTGGAAATAATCAAAATACTACTACATGTATAACTTGACTAGAGTTCTTGTTTTATATTGAGTCAGTGGTGTGATTCAATTTTATGACCTTTTCAGTTTTATCGAACATTTCTCAAACAGTAACAAGTGAACCAATTAGAGACGCCAAAAAAATGTATTTCTTTGACAAATTAGCATCATTAATGAAGTTACGAACAAAAATATATTTATGATATAGCTTAATTTCGGCCCTGTAAAACTTAAAACTAAAAAGACCTCATAGAAACAAGAAAAAACAAGAACAAGAAGAAGCTAATCAAATCTTCAATGATACCCAATAGGAGCTGGAGCTTCCTTCAGCTCACGACCTTGATAGTGAATATCCTGTTTTCAATCAATTCATTAAAGTTTAAATTAATCTTCATCAAATATATAATTTAAACGATCGATCAAAATATAAGCAACCACATTCTTACGGATGCATAATGGTTAACGTCACGGTGATGAGCCTCATCAGCACGAACCACCATGACAACATCGCGAAGCGTCGCGTTTGCGTGAAGCCTCCAGTAATCAATCGCAATGGCCGGCGCAGGAACGTTCTCGATGTTACCGTTATCGAGTTCCTTGAGGAATTCAGTGTAAGAGTGGATTGCTTCTTCCTCAAGGTATCCAACCATACGGTGAGCGAACTTCGGCGAGATTACGTATCCGAGGAAATATGCGTTGAAGAAAACGCCTTGCACGGCGATCACGAGAGCTCGCTCGTACCAGTTGGGTTTCGCGACTTCCATGAATGTCATGAGATGCATTCTCTCGTTCTCTGCTTCTTCTAGGAGGGCTTTGATCCAACCGCCGCTTTGTTCAAATCGCCGGAGCGATTTGCAGTGTACTAACATCCCTCCGACCATTCCTGGAACCGCCGCAACCGTTTCTAGCATCATCGCTCGGCATCCGTATCGCCTCTGCGTTAAAATCGTTGGCAAAAATTAGTCCAAACTCCAAAATGTTATTTACTTTCACATTTCTTGTATATTCATGGTGTAATGAGAAATAGATAGCGAAATGGTGAAATGTTAACTTAAGTCTTAAGACCACACTGTTTAGTATATATAAATGAATAAATTTGTTAATTGTGAACGTAAAATCGTAACACAAAAAGATTTTTATATGAAAACTTGAAATATTATTGGAATGTGAATTTGTTTTACGTGTAAAAAGATATAAACAAATCCAAAAATAGTTTTTTGAAGCAGTTGCATTATATACCTTGAAGAAGAGATCGGTAGGCCAACGAAGAGATTTAACCGTCCAATAAGCTAATTTATCAGGTAGAGTCGATGGAACATGATGCTTCTTCAAATCTATCGACAGATCTGCTTTGTAAGTCTCCGATGGCTACCATCAAACCATACACACAATTATTATTCATCTAATATCAGGCAAGAGTAACAATACAAAACATGAAATACTATATGTTATATGTATATACCCGAAAGCAACTCCATTTCCATTCAGTTCCATCTTCTTTGGTTATCTTCATTGGCTTCACGCCCCAATAACTAACGATTAATTCCTCTCCTTTATTACCTTGATCAGCCTTGCCACCACCGCTGGATCCTTTCTCCGACTGATTCTCCTCCGTTTTCTTCTTCTCGAATGTCATCTTTCCGAAATCTCTCACGCCTCCGATCGCCGGAGCCATAGGCTTAATAAGATGACTGTGAGACACGGCACCACGTACTATGGCGCCTGTAGAGAAGAGCCTTGGTCCAGTCATTGCCATTCCACAGCGACTCATCATCATTGTGCAGATTGAAGAAGATGAAAACAATGTAAATTGATTAAACATGCGTTTTATTCCAACTTCTTTTAACTGCTATCTATTTATAGCAACTACGGAAGTATAGATCATTGTATACAAAACGAAAAAATCGTCATACAGTTTGACTAAAAGACTTGTAGCACACGAAATGAAGACATTTACAAACAAATCCGCAACAAACGCTGTGTTGAAGTTATTGTTCTTTTTACTCTTTTTCTTGTTTATGTGCAACAATTGCTTGCAAAATCTTAAATTCGTACAATTTAATCGGAGGTGTAGAATCTCATTTTGTTTATACCAAACCGAAGAGAAACAAGAAAAAAGAATGTAACATATTGCAAATGGTGATGCCATAACTTAAACAAAGTATGTTTGATTACATAACTACAGATTTTTTATATATATAATAGCTACTCTACTCGAGTGACCAAATCCTCCATCCTAGCTCAAACCAATTATTGCCGGGTCGGGTCAAAACAAACCCAACACTTCCCTTGGAACTTTTTCTCAGTAAGACTTTTTACCATCGTTTGAGCCAAAGCTACCAAAGCTGCTCCTTCCACCTGACTGAGAAGAACGGTCCGAGCCAAAGCTCCCAAAACCAGAAGAACGGTCTGAACCGCCTGAGTAACGGCTGCTAGAACCACCTGAACGGCCACCACTGCTACCGTAGTCATCTGAACGACCACCAAACCCACTCCTCCCGCTTGACTGGGAAGAACGATCAGAACCAAAGCCTCCGAAACCAGAAGAACGGTCAGAACCAAAGGTACCGAAACCAGAAGAACGGTCTGAGCCACCACCAGAGTAACGGTTGCTTGAACCACCTGAACGGCCACCGCTGCTACCATAACCACCACCACCACCACCATAGCCACCTGAACGACCACCGCCAAAGCTTGAACTACGATCTCTCATGCCTCCTCCAAGGGACTCACCAGATCGACCACCAATTCCTTCAAACATGCTTCCACCTCCACGTTCCACAGCAATGCTAGGAAGCTGAATTCAAAACACAATAAGATACAAAAGAAACAAAGTATGTAAAAAAGATTTAACAGATCATATTAACCTCAGTGAATCGGCTCCCGACTTCTCTCTCGATTATTTTAACTGCCCTCGTTTGATCTTGACTGTAGATGAGAATAGCACTTCCTTTCTTGCCCGCACGCCCTGTTCGTCCCGTTCGATGAACAAACGTCTCCGTGTTATTAGGAAGCTCATAATGAATTATCTGTTCCCAATCACAAATACAGAAAAGAGGGGTTTAATAAGATGAGAAGCAAAACTCGTTTTAAAAGAAGACTAAGTTAAAGTTTTGACTCACCAAATCGACATTAGGCACATCGAGTCCACGGGCAGCAACATCGGTCGCAACAAGGATATTGAAATGCCCGTCACGGAAACCAGCAAGTGTTCTCTCCCTCTGACTCTGTGATATGTCACCGTGTAAGGCTTCGCATTTGAAGCTTCTCGCCAATCCATATGCAAGCCGATCAGCATCACGTTTTGTTTGTGTAAATACAATGCATTTCCCTCCTTTAGCATGCTCCTGCAAATGACAACGATATTAAACTCTAGCCAACAAACTACTCTGTAGTCTCTGATATTGAATCAATCATATCAATTAAAACGAAGTAAAGAAAGCATACCGTTACAAGAGGACCAATAATGGATGCTCTTCCATAAGAATCTGCAATGATAGAATACGTCGTAATTCCATCTGCCAGTTTCTGATCAGAATCTCCAACCTAAATAACATTCAAGGCAAAAAATATCATCTCCTTAACAACTATGATATAAGCCAAAGATCAACACTTGCAGTTTATGATTGCAATTTCAGATATGAACAAACACATTAGCAGGTATGAGATTTTACTCACAAGATCAATCGTCAAAGGATCATTAAGGTACTTTTTGGTGAGTGATCTGATCCAACTAGGCATCGTTGCGGAAAACATCATGCTCTGACGTTTCTCAGGCAGCCTCTCCAATATCACTTCCACATCCTCAGCAAACCCAACTTGAAGCATCTGATCAGCTTCATCAAGAACCACAAACTGAACCTCAGATAGATTCAGAGCTCCTCTCTTAATCAGATCAATGATACGACCTGGAGTTCCAACGGCGATATCAACACCGTAGTCAAGCTGCCTCATCTGCTGTCCAATCGGTGTACCTCCATAGACACATATAGTATCCAAACTTGGAGCAGACTCTCTAAACTCCTTCTCAACCTGGCGAGCAAGCTCCCTCGTCGGTGCCAAAACCAAGCAGAGAGGATTCCTCCCACGCCTGCCACATCAAAGACAGATCAGTGAGCTACACAGAAATGTAAATCTTTAGAGACTGTAAACAAGGAATTAAACAAACCCATGTTTAGCGTTGAATTTGATGATTTTGTCAATGATTGGAATCCCGAAAGCAAGCGTCTTTCCAGTTCCAGTCCTAGCACGTCCGATCATGTCACGGCCTTGCATCGCCGGCTCCAGCACAGCTTTCTATTCAAACCATAAACATAAACCATCTCAACAGTTTACTCATAATTCAAGAGCATGAAGACGAAAGCTTTACAATTAAATTTGAGCTCACAAACATACCTGAATAGGAAAGAGTTTCTCGATTCCTTTACTCTTCAAAGCTTTGACAATCTCCGGAGATATTCCGAGCTCAGATATCGCGAGGCCATCACCGCTGCTGCTGCTGCCAACACTCTCCGGATCTCCAATTACTCTGTCGCTACTCGCAAACCCAGCATGAGAAACCATCGACGCTCTGAACTCCGAAGGTCCAGACTGAAAATGAAATTCCCTCGCTTTCACACCAAACGGATTCGGCGTCGGAGGAGAGAGGGAGAAGCCAGGCTTCACATCGGAGGAGCCAATCGGAGCTAGATCGGAGACTCTGGCGGCGGATGGAGTAAGGTTGTGAAATAGAGCCGCATTAATGGAGGTCAGAGAGGCGGAGAGAGTACGCCTCGACGCATCAAGGCAAGATCGGCGAATTACAGTAGTGATCATCTCGGATTTCAGAGAGAAAGAGAGTGTGACTTTTTTTCTCAGATAAGGAAATGTAAAACCCAGAAAACTGAGGATTTAGGGATTTAGAAAGAAAGGCAAAGGTTTTAGATCTTCAACGAGAAGTTCTTGTTCAAAGGGTTTAAGTTGGTGTATCGGGTCGGGTCGGGTCGCACAAATTATATCCCGCGAGTATATATAGGCCCATTTAGATAGTTGGGCCTTTGGAGTTAAAAATAAGTATGGGGTGAAAAACAGAAGGTCGGTATAGATTGGGATTCATATGAGAAATAGTAAAAACCTTTTGTTTAAGAGAATAGAGAAAAGGGTTTGGAGCATAAAGAGGAAAAAGCTTGAACGCCGCTTCGTCTTCTTCCTCAATCTCTGCTCTCTCCATTTATCTCGTTCTCTGTAAACTTCTTCTCAATCCTCCTCCTGCGGATTTGTCTTTAAACGTAAGTTTCACTGTTTTTTTAATTTCTCTCTGTTCAGTAATCTAGATTGATAGAACCTAAATTGTTCCCGTAAATTTTTGACCTAAATTAGTTGCTTTTGAGCTGAAATCCCTAATTTTTGGAGCCCTTTCTAGTCTCCCTAATTGATGAGATGTGTGTGTGTGTGTTGTTGTATCTGCAGGTTAATCGGTAAAAATGTCTCTAACGGAAGAAGAAATCAAAAGACTGTACAGAATCCACAAGACGTTGATGCAGATGCTCAAGGATCGTGGCTACTTTATCGCTGATTCCGAAGTTACGATGACCATTAATCAGTTTGTGAGGAAACATGGCGATAACATGAAAAGGGAGGATCTTGTTACTCTCAAAGCCAAGAGAAATGATAACAATGATCAGGTAACAATGTTCTTCCCTCTAGTCTTCTTTTGCAGAATCATTGTTTAAAACGAATGCTTCAAGTGTTACTAGTAGTGAAAACTTAGAGTTTGATGATTTTGAATATATGCCAAAGCGTAGAGCAAGATTGCTTCGTGTTAAGTCTCTGATTCATGTTTTGTTGTAGCTCTATATATTCTTCCCCAATGACGCCAAAGTTGGAGTTAGTACGATGAAGATGTACACGAACCGGATGAAAGCAGAGAATGTCTTCAGAGCGATCTTGGTTGTTCAACAGAACTTGACTCCTTTTGCTCGAACTTGCATTAGTGAGATCTCTTCAAAGTTTCACTTGGAAGTTTTCCAGGTAATAAAGAAAAGCTCTGATTCGTGTTCTCTTCTTGATGATGTATGTATCACATGACAATCCTAAACCATGTTTGTGGCTGTTGCAGGAGGCGGAAATGCTTGTGAACATTAAAGAACATGTTCTTGTTCCGGAGCATCAAGTTCTTACCACTGAAGAGAAGAAAACTTTGCTTGAGAGATACACAGTGAAGGAGACTCAGGTTAGTATTTGGTCTAGAATCATTGTCCATGGTGATGAGCTTTTAGTTTTTGTGTGATTAAAGTTTGGAACTTGTGTGTGTATGTGTGTAGCTTCCAAGAATCCAAGTGACTGATCCAATCGCAAGATACTTTGGGCTAAAACGTGGGCAAGTCGTGAAGATCATCCGTCCGAGTGAAACAGCTGGTCGTTATGTGACTTATCGATATGTTGTATAAGCAAATGAGCTTTTGTGGATTGCGAATGTAAAACGCTAGTCAGAGATTTGTGAAACATAAGAGAAAAATGCTTTTGTACCAAACTGTTGCCAACAGTTTTGTTTGTGTGTTAGATTTAAGAATTCAATCAATCTTGAGACGAAAGTTTTTATTCCAAGAACTGTCTAGTGGAGTAAGATCAATTCAAAATTTAGATCATTGCCGTATATGTTGAAGCATCATGGTTACAAAATTTAACAATTGAGACAACTTAAAAAGCCAAATTGAAACCATTGTTTTGTTATCTGCAAGAATCATTTATGGAAGTGCGAGATTCAACAAAAAATATTAAATAAAGAACAATCTCCTCTACTGAAGTAGAAGATAAAAAAAATTAGAAGATATGACATAACTTGAAAAAAATATGTTTGTTTATGAGGCAAGAAGAGGAGCTACAGATTTATATAGCTTGACTCCTTGTAACTACTAACCCTACTCGAGTCACCAACTTCCATTATTGCCACCCAACACTCTCAGTACGATCTGTTACGGATCTTTTAATCCAAACCCACCAAAGCTGCTCCTTCCACTTGACTGAGAAGAACGATCTGAACCAAATCCCCACCATAACCTGAAGAACGGTCTGAACCCTGCCTGAGTAACGGCCGCCTGATCCTCCTGAACGGCCACTGCTGCTACCATAACCACCACCACCACCATAACTTCCACCCCACCACCATAACTTCCACCACCACCTCCATAACCACCTGAACGACCACCAAAGCTTGAACCACCACGACCTCCTCCTCCATAGGATCCACCAGACCGAGGACTCATTCCTTCAAACATGCTTGCGCTTCCACGTTCAACAACAATGCTTGGAAGCTGCATTATAAACCAAACACCAACTTTAGTCCACAAGCATTCAAACAAAAGAAACAAAGATGTTCAAAAAAAGTCCAAGAGTTTAATAAATAACCTCAGTGAATCTGCTTCCGACTTCTTTCTCAATCATTTTAACAGCCCTGGATTGCTCTGGACCGTGGATGAGAATCGCATTTTCTTTCTTTCCAGCACGTCCTGTTCGCCCCGTTCGGTGAACAAACGTCTCAGTGTTGTTAGGAAGCTCATAATGAATCACCTATTCACACAAGTATCAAAGGTTTGAGAAACAGAACTCGTTAAAGAGCAAGAGAGAAAAAATGTAGTTATCAAACTCACCAAATCGACATTAGGCACATCAAGTCCACGGCAGCAACATCAGTTGCAACAAGGATATTGAAATTCCCATCTCTGAAACCAGCAAGTGTTCTCTCTCTCTGACTCTGTGATATATCACCGTGTAAGGCTTCGCATTTGAAGGTATTCGCTAATCCATACGCAAGACGATCAGCGTCACGTTTTGTTTGTGTAAACACAATGCATTTACCTCCCTTTACCATGCTCCTACAAAGGCAAAAGATATTATAAGAATCTTGCCATACATTTGGAGGAGATAGAGATAATAAGTTTAAAAGCATACCGCTACAAGAGGACCAATAATGCCTGCTTTTCCATAAGACTCTGCAGAGATTGAATACATTGTAATCCCATCTGCGAGTTTCTGATCAGAATCTCCAACCTAAATAACAGCCAAGGCAAAAAAATGTCACCTTAAATGATAAACATTTTCAGTTATAAACAAACACATTAGCAAGTATGAGATTTTACTCACAAGATCAATCGTCAAAGGATTATTCAAATACTTCTTGGTGAGTGATCTAATCCAACTCGGCATTGTAGCGAAAACATCATGCTCTGACGTTTCTCAGGCAACTTCTGCAATATGATTTCGACATCCTCGGCGAATCCAACTTGAAGCATCTGATCAGCTTCATCAAGAACCATAAACTGAACCTCTGATAGATTCAGAGCTCCTCTTTTCATCAGATCAATGATACGACCTGGAGTGCCTACAGCAACATCGATACCGTATCCAAGCTCCCTCATTTGCTGCCCGATCGGTGTACCTCCATAGAGACAAATCGTATCCAAGCTTGGAGCAGACTCTCTAAACTCCTTCTCAACCTGACGAGCAAGCTCTCTCGTCGGAGCTAAAACCAAGCAAAGTGGATTCTTCCACGCCTGTTCACATCAAAATGTTAAATCTTTGAAACCCTCAATCAAATCTCTGTAAACACAAAGTCAAATCCAGGAACTTTAACAAACCCATGTTTAGCGTTGAATTTGATGATTTGTCAATGATTGGAATCCCAAAAGCAAGCGTCTTTCCAGTTCCAGTCCTTGCACGTCCGATCATGTCATGGCCTTGCATCGCCGGCTCAAGCACAGCTTTCTATTCAACCAAACAAACATGAAAAAACTCGAACTTTAATTGATCCGATGCAGAAATTCGACAATCTCAATAATCTAATGGAGAAGAAGATCGAACCTGAATAGGAAAGAGTTTATCGATTCCTCTACCACTCAAAGCTTTGACAATCTCCGGAGATATCCCGAGCTCATATCGCGAGCCCATCACCGCCGCTGCTGCCACCGACACTCTCCGAGTCTCCTCCGTCGCTAGTCTCGTACGAGGCGGCGTAATCGTGAGCTGCGAATCCGGCAGGAGAAACCGTCGACGCTCTGAAATCGGACGGTCCGGATTGAAAATGAAAGTCTCTCGCTTTCACACCAAATGGGCTTGAAGTCTGAGGAGGATTGAGATTTGCGGCTAGATCGGAGACTGTAGTCGCGGTGGTGGCTGCGGATGGAGTAAGACTGTGAAACAGAGCGGCGTTAATGGAGGTCAGAGAGGCGGAGAGAGTCTGAGTCCGCCTTGACGCACCGAGGAAAGATCGGCGGAGTACTGCGCTGATCATTTTTCCAGATCCAGAGGAGAGTGAGGGATTTTTGGACGGAGAAATGTGTTCAGAAAAAAAACCCAAATGTGAGAGAATTAGGGTTTTAGAGAAGACGGCAGAGGAGGGTTTTAGAGAGGTTTAAGAAGAAGGCGATTGAGACTTCAGAGAATCTACTAAAGAGTATAAAGGTATTTTTACATTTTTACTTTTAATCACCTGCGGGCGAGTGTATGGTATGCTCCTACACGTTACGAGCATGTTTATGGAAAGAGAGAGAGTTATGAAATTTTTCTTTCGCTTGGGCCCAAAGGTGTGTGTACTTGTATGTGAAGGAAAGACCGAGTTTAATGAATCTTAAAATGATTATTATCTTCTTAATCATAATCGTTCATTTTTCTTTCTTTTTTTTGTTTAGGAAATCTTTTGAAAGAAATCATGACATACTATTTCTTCATATCCTTCATATATATGATTGACAATTTTTTTAAACAAAGAAATGTAGTTTCTACAATTTTGGCTCATGCGGTGGTTCTTGCATGGTCAATGATTTGTGCAGCTTCAAATATAATCTAACTTAAATCTGGTTCAGATGCGTCAAATCTATATTGTTGTGGTCTTAGTCATTAGTGATGTATATACAATGTGAAAGTCTTCAATTGTCTAGATCAATCATGATGAAAGGATGATTAAGGAATCAAAAGGAGTAATTAAATGACATAAATGGAAATATATTCCGCCACTGAAACTCAAACTGGAACCATGTCACTGAAATCGTCCAAGAAAATAAAAGACACATGTCTTACCAAGCAAGAAAAAAGATAAAGATTGTACTTTAATTTCCTAACTAGGTCCTAGAAATATTGTCTTCTGTCTTCTCTCTCCTGTCTTCCTAGATGTCTTATGTCTTCTTCCTTTATCAAAAGAAAAAAAAAAAGTAAGTGTCTTTTAAATGAGGTTTGATGTAAAATGTTCATCAATAATACTCAAGACTAATAACCTGTATTAAACCACTCATCTATTGTCTTCACGCTCGGTGAGAGCAGAATGGGGACATTGTTGTTGTGAGCAAGTCCTGTAACCACCTCTTGAAACTTAAGATAATCGTTGTCCAATTGTACGACAATCTTCTCCAATGCCTTTGTGTTTTTAAGCATAAGTTCCAAGAATGACGTCACATGCTTTGACACTATATCCGAGGCGTTCTTATTCCAAATGACCCCATCTTTTGATCTCCAGCACATATCCGAACTCAAGCCTTTCTTCATCAAGTACTTGTCAAGAAGTGACCCCTGCTCCACACAAGCCAAAAACAAAAAAACAAGGTTCTTGAATTATTCATAATCGATGATAAACAAGGTTCTTGCACATATATAATATTCTCCATGTCTACCACACTTTGTAATATCTAGCTTTTTAAGTAACTTTCAAACTTCAGAACAAGAACCATTTAATTTCTTGCTTTGACTAAATTGTACATGTTCAAAAAAAAAAAAAAAGAGAGATGATAAATAAAATTGCCAAGTAAAAAACAAAAGAGATGTGTATATGGTATCTATACCTGTATGGTGCTGTTGTGCATAGTGTGGACTGTTAGCTTCTTTAAGTGAGGTGAGTTTTGTAAAACCCTTTCAACACCAGGAATAACATACTGATCGATGTTTGTCTCAAGTGTCAAATCTTTGACTTTCAACATCGGAGAAGGAACACCACGAATCTGTGCAAGTGATAAAATCTAACAGAAAGCACAAGAATATTGTGAATACCGAAACCAACTGGTTCTTGAAGAATGCAAGAATGAGCCATAAAAGCATTTATATACCTGAAGAATGTTTTCCCCAAACGTAAGCTTCTCTGCGTTTTGCAACTTCTCTAGCATCTTTAGCACCATCTCTTGAAAAAAATCAGCATGTTCGGTATATGGCATCGGGGAATAGCAAATGCCCAGGTTGGCTTCGACTAAAAACGAGACATCAACTAAAAGACATGGAGATTTATAGTTAAACAACATTTTGAGACGATGGATATGTGGTGCCACAATCTGCTTTGGCCCCGTAAAACAAACGTCCCGGTTTATTTTTAATGTTGTCAGATGTAGTGATTTGCTGAGATCAACAACCATCAGTTCATCGCAGCAAGACAGTGTTAAGCTTTGGAGAAGGGGACAACCGGATAAAATTTTAGCCAAGGATTCATCAGAGAGACAACAATCACACAAGGACAACTTCTTCAGTGATGTCCAACACACAGAGGAATTGATGAAGGAGAAATCAGGATACGCATACTTTTCATTATTATAACGATCGTAAGGAGTGCACAAATCCAAGGACAGATTCTCCACGTTGTGGGAGATGGCAAACTTGATCCACATCTCCATGTGGGTAACACTCCTCCCCATGGTTGTTTTGAGATGAAAATTACTCACATTGGGAGCAGTGTAGCGAGTTAGGGTTTCTTTTATTGAAACAGCCGTCGCTCTTCTGTCGATATCTAAGGAGAGACAAGGTGTATCGCACCATACGTGCCTCCATCTTTTGGACAAGAGGGAAGTTGTGACGGCGAGTTTGGTCGGAATAGAAGAGAGGATATGTTGGAGGATCACATCTGGTAGAGAACTGATCGAGTCGATTTTTCTGTCGTCGGCCATCTTTTTTCTTCCTTTTTCTCCGTCTGCCATCTTAATTTGCGATCGATATGCTTACTGCTTAGGGCTAATTTTTTAATACTTACAAATATTAGGCCCCAAAATTATGAATGGGGGGGTTAGATTACTGAAATTGCCCCTATAGAGTCTAGATATGTTATGTTCAATTTATGTTCTCATGCTAATACAAAAGATAGAATCGTTTTTGAATGTTTACTTTGTGTCGCTCTTGACCATAAAATGGAAGTGTGTATTCTGCCACTGAAACTCAAACTGGAACCATATGTCATTGAAAAAAAAAACACATGTCTACCATGCAACATAAAAGATAAAGAATGTACTTTAATTTCCAATTCCAAACACAAATAATGTAACTGTCTTCTTCTAGTATATGTTTACATGAGGTTTGATGTTCGATAAGATTCAAGAATATAAACCCTATGATTCACCACTCATGTGTTGTCTTCGGCTCGGTTGAGAGCACAATGGAAACATTCCTGTTGGGAGAAAGTGTTGTAACAACATCTTTAAACTTAAGGTAATTGTCGTTCAACTGTACGACCATCTTCTCCAATGTCTTTGCGTTTCTAAGCATCAGTTTCAACAATGATGTCACATGCTTTGACTTTATAATCCCGGTGCGTATCCGAATGACTCCATCTTTTGATCTCCAGCAGCGATCCGGTTCAAAGCCTTGCAATTCCAAGTAGTTGTCAAGAAGTGACCCCTGCTCGACACAAGACCAAAAAAAAAAAAACACGGTTCTTGGATTTGATTATTTCAAATGATAAACAAAATTGCCAAGTAAAAAAAAAGGAGGTGGTTTATATGCTATCTATACCGGTATGGTGTTGTTGTTGTTTCTTGTGTGTATTGTTAGCTTCTTTAAGTGAGGTGATTTTTGTAAAACCCTTTCAACACCAGGAATAATATACTGATCGATGTTTGTCTCAAGTGTCAAAGCTTTGACTTTCAACATCGGAAAATCAACACCACGAATCTTTGCAAGTGATAAAATCTAACAAGAAAGCACAAGAAGATAGTGAATACCAAAACCAACTGGTTCTTGGGATTAGAGAGAATGCAAGAATGAGCCATAAAAGCATATATATACCTGAAGAATGTTTTCCCCAAAAGTAAGCTTCTCCGCGTTCTGAAAATTTTCTAGCATATTTAGCACCGACTCTTGAAGAAAATCAGCATCGAGGGTTCTTGACATCGAGCAAAATAAAATGCCCAGTTTGGCTTCGACTAAAGACGAGACATCAACTAAAAGACATGGAGACTTATAGTTAAGCAACATTCTGAGACAACGGATATGTGGTGCCACAATCTGCTTTGGCCCCTTAAACATAAGGCCGCAGTGTATGTTCAAATTTCTCAGATGCAGTGATTTGCTGAGATCGAGAACCTTGAGTCTATCGCAACAAGACAATGTTAAGCTCTCGAGAAGGGGACAACCGGATAGAATCTTAGGCATGGATTCATCAGAGAGACGACCAAAACACAAGGACAACTTCTTCAGTGATGTCCAAGACACAGAGCATTTAGGAATGAATGTATAATTATCGTCTAACGTAATGCTAAGTTGCTTGAGAGAGGAATTGAGGTAGAAAAACTCAGGAAACGTATACCTATCACCAATCCGACGACTCCATATAGTCAAATCTAAGGACAGATTCTCCACGTTGTGGGAGAAGGCAAACTTGATCCACATGTCCATGTGGGGAATATTCTTCTTCGTGGTGGTTCTGAGGTCAAAACTCATCAACTTGGGAGCTGTGTAGCGACTTAGGGTTTCGTTTACCGAAACAGCCTTCACTGAATCGACGATATCTAAGGAGAGACAAGGTGTATCGCACCAAACACGCCTCCATCTTTTGGACAAGAGAGAAGTTGTGATGGCGAGTTTGGTCGTAATAGAAGAGAGGATATTCTGGAGGATCACATCTGGTAGAGAGCTGATCGAGTCGATTTTGCTATCGTCGGCCATTGTGTTGGATATTCTTAATTAGGGCTATTATGAAACAACTGCTTTTCTTTATATATTAATAAGATTAAGATTTTTCTTTTTTTAAACATTAATCTCGCCAATAAATTCGAAAGCATTTTGCCACTAAAACATCAATGTCTCTCCAAAAAGAAAACCATGTTCACTACAGGACTTGATGTTTAACAAGATAAGCAAACAATTATTGCAGAATCGGGTCAAAACCAACCTTTGTAGCTTTCCTGTAAACTTTGTCAAAACCATCTCTTTAGCCTCATTGACCAACAATGGTGGAGGCATTGATGTTAGCTAACAGAGGAGCCATGTCCAAACGAGTCTTGCAATGGAACTGGAGCTCGTACTGAGCTCCGAGGATACGGTAACGCTTCAACCAGAAGAGCTTCTTGCTCAGCTCGTGGCTCTGGGCCTTGATGACGAGAAACCGTTTCTTGAACCTCATCTCAAACTGTTCCCTCGATTTCTTGTCGACGTGAGGCGATCGTAGCACCGTGTACAAGGTTCTCGTGTCCGGCATTGCGATTTTCCGAGTGTGAGGAGGGAGACACCAAGCTTGCTTCTCCGGGTTGTCGAATGATCGGATCGCTATGCAGATTCTGGTTCCTCTGATCTTTGATGTGCTTTCTTCTCCTTCTTTCTTCTATTCAAATCACACAATCACAACAACAAGAGTTCTCAATTGATTCTCAACACCATTAACACCAATCGTGACAATTTGTTCAGTGAGAATGAATGAGAAACAGAGACGAACCTGGAGAGTGATTGCCTTTTTACTCGATGGTTTGACTTTCTTTGGAGAAATTCGAATCTTTGGAATACTTTTGGAATCGCCGGCGATACCCTCACTCTCAGTGGCGTAGCCTTGGGACGCGATCCTCGCCGGAAAAACCATAGACGGCTCAGATCTAATTTGGAAGCCTTTCGATGCCGGTGCGAATCGATTCATGAGGTCGCGGGAGGTAGAAGATCCATTTCGAATCAGATTACGCTCTACGGAGACGATTCCGGTGGCGGCTGAAGTGAAATGGTGTGAAAGACCTGAATCAAAGGAGGATAGCGCGGCTGATAGTGTTTGCCTCGACGGCAGCGAAGACCTGCGGAATACTCCGGCGATCATTTCCGATTCAACGGCGATTAAGAGTTTCCGATTACGAGAAATGACGAGAGAGATGGAAGAAGGGAAAGTCAAAACCCCTCTGTTCTCTCAATTAGGGTTTCAGTGAGAGAGCCGTGAAGTCGAGATAAGAATCTCCTGCGACGAGTGTATGTAAACGGTTTGCACAAGCGACACGCGTACAAGTATAAGAGGCTCATTTTCGTTTAGTTCAATGATGGTAAAAAAAATCACAGGAAGAAAATTGAATAAAATTACACTTAATTCTACTAGTTAAACCAGAGATAATCAGAGTAATGATGATGATACATAAGAGAGTAAAAAGGCAAAACTATATATCCAAGGATTCTAGAGTTCTCAGATTGGATCTTGCAAACGTAACAATCCTGGAATCTCTGGTTGTGAGGTTGTCTTCAGAAGGCAGATGCAAGTTTTTGGATTTGAGAGAGATTCTTCTTCCTTCCTTAGTTTTTTCTCACTGTTTCTTTCTCTCTGTTTCACTTGTGTATGCTTCTGGTACTCGGCTTCTTAGTGAAAGATTCAATCAAACGGAACATCCAACGATCTAGCATTCCTGTTTTATGACCATGCCCATAACTAATTAAGCGAAGGATTTTGAATGAGGACTTAATAATGAGATTAGATCGAGATGTGACGAACCTGTGAGAGCAAAGGTACCGCCTAATACAGCGCAAAGCCGAGTGATCAAGTGGAGAAAACTACGTCGTTCTTCCTTGATTGTCACAGTGATTGGTGAAAGATCATATAAGAAGTAGACAGCTGAAAAATTGGAAAATAAAAGCAAACATCAGGAAACTGAAACAGAGTGATAAGAAGCAGTTGCATGCTGGGAATGTAGTTTTGTTTTGATCAAACCTGGCCATGTCCGGTCAAATTCATTCATCGGTGTGTAATATTCAGTTACAGAGTACTGATTTGTTGAGAGTATGTCCTTTGAGAGATATCTGTATTCCGTAGGAACAATCTGCGCCATACCAGAGAGAAATTAGTGAGCTAAAACTACCAGATAATGTTCATAGATCATAAAAGCTAGCAAAGAGACATGAGTAAAAGAAGAGTGAAAAATTTCGATAAACACCTTGATATAGTATTTGAATGTTCCACTGGTGTCATGTAGGATTCGGTTTGTATCATCAAGCGGGTTGTGAATTCCAGGGTATTTCGGCCCAAAGGAGAGATCATGAATCATATGGCTCACATTTACGTTTTTCGAACCACCAAATATCTGTTTAAAGGGGTAATAAAGAGATTGAATGAGGTGCAAATGCAAATGATGAGAACAAAGAATGATACGAACCATCTGAGCAACGTAGATGTTTAGTCCATGAACTGAGATATGGAAGTTTCCAGCAACTCGTTGTACATCTATGACACCATAAACCTGGAAAACAGCCAAAAAGATTAGTCTCTGTTAACTTTAAAACGCTAATAAGGTATAGTTTCTTGTTTGTGTATTGACAAGAGCAAAAGTAGATACCCGACATCCTTCTCCATCTGCCAATGCTTGCTTCACCTTTTTAATCATTGTCTCAGCAGCTTGATCAAAGCCGAGAAAATTGAATGACTCGGTCTCATTCTTGGGTTCTTCTTTGCCATCTTCAGAAAGCACAAGATATACCAAATTAAAACATGTTAATGATTCTCTATTCTTATATCAACAAAGTACGCTGCCAATGACATCTATCACTAGGTATATATGTGCCAAATTAATCATAAGCCTCAACTCAACTTGCAAGATTCTTATTAATATTCGATTTTGGAAGCTACAAATTAGTGTAAATTCGGTTCTCCAGATAGTCATGTGCATGTACGTAGAACCAACATGCATATGACAATCTGTTCTTCCGAAAGGTTCAAGGTAGAGACATTGAACAATAGTTAAGGGAAATGAAGCTCGTTGGAGAAGATACAAAATCGGAGAAAATAAGTTGAGGATGTTACCATGCTTGTGAGCTGAGTGATCATGCTCTTTTTCAACAAGATCAGATATGTATTCTGTGCCAATGATATGACCATGACTGTTGAGACGGAGCTGCAGACGGAGACTCACAATAAGTAACTAAATATCTCGATCATAAACCAGTACGACTAGAATTAATGCCACAAGATGCGAGGCATAAGGATGCCAAGGGAGATATCCAAATAGTTCCCTTCAGATAGAATCTTTAGCCTAAATATGAACTGCTATATTTTTTCAGGCGCAATCTAACAAAACAAGTTTGCGTAATTCCATTAAGGTGGATGAGGATACATGTGAAAAGACTTGTGATTTGTATTTAGCATCTGGATTCATGTTACCTTCCAAATGTTTGTATCGAGATCCACTTCATGCTTCCCTGACATGTCGATCGCATCCACGCTCAATACTACAAAACAAATAAGATCAAATGATTCAACAACAACAAGTATTCCAGAAGAGATACGGAGGAAAGAACCTAACAATGACTTGAATGCTACGTGATCGATGGATATCACTTACCATCACAAGGCAAAGATGGAAACGTCATATTAACATGAATTGGAAGAGTTTCTCCGCGCTTTAAGTCCACAGACATCTACAACCACATGACACAAATTCCAAATTAAGGCAGTCAAATGGACAGAGAACGACTAGAGTATCAGTGAAGTTGTATCAACAGAGAGACTTCAAATTCATATTTCCGTAATGATATGAAGGCTAGAGTGAGGGCAACAAACAGAAAAGCACAAGATATCGCTCAAACTAAAGACGTACCTGATGCACTGTAAGTGTGTTAAGATAGTAACTCAGCTCGTGCAAGAACAAAGTAGCCATTATAAAGAGTCCAACAATCGATACTACAACAACAGCAACAAAATTTCAGATATTAAAATAAGCAAACACATATCAAGCATTCAAAAGGGTATCCTCAAACAACAAGAAAAAAAGGATGAGAAAATCCATTACTTACCAACTGCACCAGATTGTGTTTTCTGCAGCAAATGATCCTCTGCTCTTGGGAACGCATCGATGCTCCTTAGAGCCTGCTTCACACCCATCCTAGCAGCTTCCCTCAAGATTATTAATACTACGAATCGAACTCCAAGGACCTACCAAACTACAAACCAACATTAGATATATAGTCAGGAACAATATTGCCAAATTCGTGTAATTCCACTCAATTTGGCACTAGATAAACCGATTCAACCATCAAATACTTTTCCTTTCGAACCAAATTCTCTTAGTATTCTATATATTTCTCGATCTACACAACCATAGAGCTTCCATGGCGGTTTCTCTAAAGAGCCTAGCTCAAAATCAATAGCAGATGCAGCCTAGGATTGAAGGGCATTTTTTTTTTGAAATTAAGCTTAAACAGCTCAAAACTATTTCATCAAAATTCAGGTGTCTAGTATGATCTTTACCTTCCTTAAATTAGGAAATTCCCATTTTTTGAAGCTAATGAAAGAAAATTAAGCGTAGAAAAGTCGAAGAACAATGGCATAAGAACAGATGAATCTAAAGATATTTCCAAACGCAAAATANTACCACTCCTCCTTGTACCCAGAACGTTACTTGGAGCGTCGTTAGAAAGGTTTTTATTATTTATCGATCTTCAAAACTTCATTTTATTGTTAGGTTATTGCTCTTGAACTTAATAGTAATGATTTTTGTTTCCTTAATAAATTATCAGGTTAGGACGGTGACAAGAAAACAAGTGAAGATTCTTCGCGTGGCTGTACACGATGTAAGTTTTTTCTGTCTTTCTCATCAGTTTACACGTACACGTAATATATTTGATTCATTTAGTCCACCTATGGTCTCATGCTAACCTCAATTTTCATTATGTGTATTGTCAGTCTCATTTTCATTATGTGTAAATATTATCTAACAGGACCAAAATTCGAATGCGAGGCCAGTTCAAGCAATCAACAAGCGCGTGGTTCACCTATACAGACCAAGAGATTAATTAACGAAGACATTACAAGTTCTTTATAATCTTAAATCCTTCATGTTTACGTCGTACAAAATTTACTAAAATAATGGTTTCGCTAGTTACTATTCTTCATATACTCTCGTGAAAATAATGGTAAACACATATGAAATGATGATATAACTTCATATAATAAATACAGTTTGGTTAAGCGGATACAAAACAAATTATTTAGCTACATCTCTAATCGTACCGGTATCAACACTTCGGTTATCTTGTTTTGTATTTTCGCGTTTACGTTTAAAAAACTTTCCAAAATTTATCGCAAAATAAAATCCGCAAGACGCGATAAGAAGAAGAAGAAGAAGACGACGAAGATGATGCTCTTGAATCCTCCTCTCACCGTTCCCTCTTCTTACCCATTCCATTTCCTTCCTTCTTCTTCTGATCCTCCCTACGATACTCTCCGAAACCATCCCTCACTTTCTCTTCTCCTCAATTGCAAAACTCTTCAATCTCTACGCCAAATCCACGCCCAGATAATCAAAACTGGTCTCCACAACACCAACTACGCTCTCAGCAAGCTTCTCGAGCTCTGCGTTCTTTCTCCACACTTCGATGGCATTCCTTACGCGATCTCCGTTTTCGAAACGATCCAGGAGCCGAATCAGTTCATCTGGAATACAATGCTTCGAGGGCACGCGTCGAGCTCGGACCCACTCTCAGCTCTCAAGCTGTATCTTTGCATGATCTCACATGGGCACCTTCCGAATCCCTACACGTTCCCCTTTCTCTTGAAATCCTGTGCAAAGTTGAAGGCTTTTAGCGAAGGCCAACAGATCCACGGCCACGTTCTGAAACTTGGGTGTGATCTAGATCTCTACATACACACTTCTCTCGTCTCAATGTACGCTCAAAACGGGAGATTAGAAGACGCACGTAAGGTGTTCGACAAAAGTCCTCACCGAGACGTGGTTTCCTACACGGCGTTGATCACTGGCTATGCATCCAGAGGCTATATTCGAAGTGCCCGGAAGATGTTTGATGAAATTCCCATGAGAGACGTAGTGTCATGGAACGCGATGATCTCAGGGTATGCGGAAACAGGTAACTATAAAGAAGCATTGAGATTGTTTAAAGAGATGATGAAAACGAATGTTAGGCCAGATGAGAGTACAATGGTCACTGTAGTTTCTGCTTGTGCTCAGTCTGGTGACATTGAATTGGGTCGTCAGGTGCATTCAATGATTGATGATGATCATGGGTTTGGTTCAAGTCTCAATATTGTTAATGCTCTCATCGATTTGTACTCAAAATGTGGTGAGGTGGATACAGCGTGTGGTCTGTTTGAGGGATTGGCTTACAAGGATGTGATTACTTGGAATACATTGATCGGTGGTTACACGCATATGAGTCTTTACAAAGAAGCGTTGTTGTTGTTTCAAGAAATGCTGAGATCAGGTGAAAGTCCGAACGATGTGACGATGCTGAGTGTTCTTCCTGCTTGTGCGCACCTTGGAGCCATTGATATTGGAAGATGGATCCATGTGTACATTGATAGGAAGCTAAAGAGTGTTGCGAATGCTTCTTCTCTCCGGACTAGCCTCATCGACATGTATGCTAAATGTGGAGACATAGAGGCAGCAGAGCAAGTGTTCAACAGTATGATCCATAGAAGCTTGTCGTCATGGAACGCAATGATATTTGGGTTTGCGATGCACGGGAGAGCAGATGCAGCGTTCAATCTTTTCTCGAGAATGAGAAAGAATGGGATCGAACCAGACGATATCACGTTTGTTGGTTTGTTGTCTGCTTGTAGCCATTCAGGTATGTTAGACTCTGGACGCCACATTTTCAGAACAATGACACTGGACTACAATGTAACCCCGAAGCTAGAGCACTACGGGTGCATGATTGATCTTTTGGGTCATTCGGGTCTGTTCAAAGAAGCAGAAGAAATGATAAACACGATGCCAATGGAGCCAGATGGAGTGATTTGGTGCTCCCTTCTCAAAGCTTGCAAGAAGCATGGGAATCTCGAGCTGGCGGAATCATTTGCACAAAAGCTCATTAAAGCTGAACCTGAAAACCCAGGCTCTTATGTGCTTCTTTCCAACATTTACGCTGCAGCAGGAAGATGGAACGAAGTATCGAAGATACGAGCTCTCCTCAATGGCAAAGGTATGAAGAAAACTCCTGGTTGCAGCTCAATCGAGATAGATTCGGTGGTTCATGAGTTCGTCATTGTGATGTCCAAGACACAGAGCATTTAGGAATGAATGTATAATTATCGTCTAACGTAATGCTAAGTTGCTTGAGAGAGGAATTGAGGTAGAAAAACTCAGGAAACGTATACCTATCACCAATCCGACGACTCCATATAGTCAAATCTAAGGACAGATTCTCCACGTTGTGGGAGAAGGCAAACTTGATCCACATGTCCATGTGGGGAATATTCTTCTTCGTGGTGGTTCTGAGGTCAAAACTCATCAACTTGGGAGCTGTGTAGCGACTTAGGGTTTCGTTTACCGAAACAGCCTTCACTGAATCGACGATATCTAAGGAGAGACAAGGTGTATCGCACCAAACACGCCTCCATCTTTTGGACAAGAGAGAAGTTGTGATGGCGAGTTTGGTCGTAATAGAAGAGAGGATATTCTGGAGGATCACATCTGGTAGAGAGCTGATCGAGTCGATTTTGCTATCGTCGGCCATTGTGTTGGATATTCTTAATTAGGGCTATTATGAAACAACTGCTTTTCTTTATATATTAATAAGATTAAGATTTTTCTTTTTTTAAACATTAATCTCGCCAATAAATTCGAAAGCATTTTGCCACTAAAACATCAATGTCTCTCCAAAAAGAAAACCATGTTCACTACAGGACTTGATGTTTAACAAGATAAGCAAACAATTATTGCAGAATCGGGTCAAAACCAACCTTTGTAGCTTTCCTGTAAACTTTGTCAAAACCATCTCTTTAGCCTCATTGACCAACAATGGTGGAGGCATTGATGTTAGCTAACAGAGGAGCCATGTCCAAACGAGTCTTGCAATGGAACTGGAGCTCGTACTGAGCTCCGAGGATACGGTAACGCTTCAACCAGAAGAGCTTCTTGCTCAGCTCGTGGCTCTGGGCCTTGATGACGAGAAACCGTTTCTTGAACCTCATCTCAAACTGTTCCCTCGATTTCTTGTCGACGTGAGGCGATCGTAGCACCGTGTACAAGGTTCTCGTGTCCGGCATTGCGATTTTCCGAGTGTGAGGAGGGAGACACCAAGCTTGCTTCTCCGGGTTGTCGAATGATCGGATCGCTATGCAGATTCTGGTTCCTCTGATCTTTGATGTGCTTTCTTCTCCTTCTTTCTTCTATTCAAATCACACAATCACAACAACAAGAGTTCTCAATTGATTCTCAACACCATTAACACCAATCGTGACAATTTGTTCAGTGAGAATGAATGAGAAACAGAGACGAACCTGGAGAGTGATTGCCTTTTTACTCGATGGTTTGACTTTCTTTGGAGAAATTCGAATCTTTGGAATACTTTTGGAATCGCCGGCGATACCCTCACTCTCAGTGGCGTAGCCTTGGGACGCGATCCTCGCCGGAAAAACCATAGACGGCTCAGATCTAATTTGGAAGCCTTTCGATGCCGGTGCGAATCGATTCATGAGGTCGCGGGAGGTAGAAGATCCATTTCGAATCAGATTACGCTCTACGGAGACGATTCCGGTGGCGGCTGAAGTGAAATGGTGTGAAAGACCTGAATCAAAGGAGGATAGCGCGGCTGATAGTGTTTGCCTCGACGGCAGCGAAGACCTGCGGAATACTCCGGCGATCATTTCCGATTCAACGGCGATTAAGAGTTTCCGATTACGAGAAATGACGAGAGAGATGGAAGAAGGGAAAGTCAAAACCCCTCTGTTCTCTCAATTAGGGTTTCAGTGAGAGAGCCGTGAAGTCGAGATAAGAATCTCCTGCGACGAGTGTATGTAAACGGTTTGCACAAGCGACACGCGTACAAGTATAAGAGGCTCATTTTCGTTTAGTTCAATGATGGTAAAAAAAATCACAGGAAGAAAATTGAATAAAATTACACTTAATTCTACTAGTTAAACCA